CCCCCCAATCCACCTCTCTCCCCCTCCCCCCCCCCCCTCCGCTCTCTTGACCTTTTTCTGGGGGCCCCCCCCCCCACCCCCCCAAAAAGCCCCCTTCACAACCCCCCCCCCCCCCCATTGCAAAAAAACCTAGCTATGGGCCTGCAAAATAGAAACATAAGTGACAGCAGAAAATCAAAGAAAATTTTTAATGTGTTCATTTGGGGGAGGGGTGCAGTAAATTTATGGGCTTTCAGACTGTGTACTGTTTGTAGTGGGCCGGAAATACTTTCAGGTGAAGCACAGATTATTGTTTCTCAAACAGGGCTTAGAACTCTATCTTGACCGGTCAACCTCCTCCACTTTTTAAAAACAGCATCTTTACTCTCAGAGGTCATGTAGCCCTTCAAGATGAGGTTTGTTTTTAATCTCAAAGAATCCACCTCAGGGGCTGACCATTTGAGTTTTGAGGCGGGGATATGGGTGATATGGTTTGGGTAAGATTTTTTTTCCCTAAACCTCTGGTGTAAGCTAGATTTCTTGCCAGCATTATACTAGCCTGTACCCCTGGGGGGTACTTTAGGACATTTTGGGTGGGGATGTGCCGCTGGGACTCTGGAACCCTGAGCCTATACCAGAACTAGTTCAAGTGAATTTTGCTACCCTATACTAGACTAAACTCCCCAAATCCCCCCCTATCCTAGAGTAGCTGTTTTCCAGAAACAACCAAGGTCACTAGCACAGTCCAGCCAAAACAAAACAGATTTGATTTTTGTTATATTCTTGAGTGGCAATTCCTGGTTTTCTTTAGTCTAGGCTAAAATGTTCAGCCAACTGATCAGTTTAAATGGAAAATGATCCTCTTCTAGACCCAAACTCTCTGAGTTATATACCCTATCCCAGGGTAAACTGCTTGAAAACCATACCCTTCACAGCGGCACATACCTATATAGCCCATATATGGCAGTACCCCCCCCCCCCGGCCTCTACCCAGAGGTTGTTTTCAGTTTTCAGAATTTTTTTTGCCAGGTATTTCCTTGCAACATTTTTTCCCCTTGAAATCAGTTCACAGGATGTATATTTTTTAAAATCACCCATACCAGCCTCTCAAAAGGTGGTGGGCCACTTTGCTTTGATGTTTTCTCGGAAAGGTAAGCACACGCAACTTGTAACAGTTTACGCGGGCTCTTCAGGAAGCCATGCAAGTTCATTCAAGGACAAGGTCTTTCAAGGACACAAGCAATTTTAAGTTTAATAGGGTAGGGGTGGGGTTCAAAAATTCAAGAGAGGAGTGAAATAGACATGGAAAGCATCTGAAATGATAGACATACAGATTCTTAGGAATGCCAATGCTATTTCCTCTACCGTGAGTAGGGAATTTTTTTCTATGAATGCTGAACGATAGATTCTGGTCCTTTCCTCCCGGGTTCCTCCTTTCCCCCTCCCCGCTCATAAAAGGTTTGTCCACTTCGGGCACTATGGGCAGCGGTTGTGCAAGAAAGAATAACTTCACTACTCGTTATTTTAAGAGATCAAGAAGAAGTGCTCAGGTGTTGTTCTACAGCTCGGTTATTCCTTCAATCTCAAAGCACGTTTTTGTTCATAGAGGATAAAAAGAAACGTTGATTCTAGCTTGAAGTTGATCGATCATCATGGCCGAGACGGTAAGCTGTTCAGCTTTACTCCCTGATAAACTTAATGTTATTAAGTTTTCCTAACTAGCAAACCAGCTGAGCAAAGCTGAGTTTGTTTACGCTGACTCGATTTATACATTATAGGCTTACAGTCGTTCCTCGCAACAACACTTGTGGTAGGATTATAAAAGTGACGTCTTGACCATGTTTTCTTCTTATTAAATATGTAGCATTTTCAAACATGTACTTCGTGCAGTAAGCTGCTGATTGTCATCACCTGGCTTCAGTTAAACTTATATAATTGTACTATGAAAGCTATTTGTGCAGCTAGAAGTTTTAAAAAATTTCCATGAGGGTGACTGGATTTGAGAATGATTACCAATATTCTTCTACTGTACGAGCAACTTCCTTCTAAAGACGGCATTTGCAATGTCTCTTGGAGTTTAAATCAAAGGTCATCCAAGGGCACAGAAAGATTGCAAAACATGATTAGAACCCTAAACTGATCACATGATTTTCAACCAAATGACCATCCTATCAGGCTGAAACCTTCATCCACGTTATGCCTCTGAGTACTGCTAGGCTATGGCTGGTATATATGGGGCAAACAAAGGCACTTGCCCTGTCAGAAAAATCCCTAGGTGAAGGAGATTGATTTTTTTAAAGAAAAATTTCATGATTCTAGATTTCAAAACTTTCGTAGGGGTTTGCCTGAGATGCTCTTATTTGGCTTGCAACTTGCACTAGGTAATGGCAGATCTTAAAGGGTTACATTTCCATAGAAACTGTGGTGTTTTATCAGTGGGGGAGTGAAATAGAAAGATTTGGTTTTATCAAATGAACAGGTAAGTTAGATTGCAATCTACCTGATCAATTTGGG